TCCGCGTGTACCGTGTATCTGTACGGTCTGTTCTTCTATATGGATGCGAATGCTTGGCTATGCGCGTGGAAGATGAATGTAAACTGGCGGTATTTGAGGACCATCCTTCATCTCAAATGAGACAGTCCGCACTCGCTGCGGCAACATCCAAGAAAGACGACTGAGGTGGTTCGGAAGCGTTCTTTGTCGTCAACCTCACGAGCTCAGTGTTACTGCCCTCGTCGCGAAGCCACTACCTAATTGGAAACTTAGATGTGGGGGGATAGCTTAAAACTTGGGTCGATTTAGTCTGCGAGGTCATGGAATTGGTTCTTAAACCTTCGATATCCGCCGCTGGTGAAGAGCATGGATTGGACTGTCCAGGTCTGCTCTCACGGATCGTCATGCGTGCAGAAGTGGATTTCGGGATGTGATCGAGGCCGGATAGGTCAGGCATGATTGCAGCCGCAACAAGTACAAGGCTAAAAAGACGGCTGATCCCCTCTCCTGCCGGCTTCAAGGCTGACCTAAAGCGTCTCAATATTTACTGTACCTATCGCCCCGTCTTGCATATCCCATACACAGGATTGGTCTTTATACTATGCTATGCGCGCTTAACATGATATCGGCCTTGATTTCTATTTTTAAGCCTCAGTATCGCATGTTGTGCTTCGCCCGGCTGGTTCTACTGACGACGAATTGCTTCACCATTGTGTTTGCTTTGCCAGTGATTTACGCTAGTGTACTGCTCATACACATAGCTTAATCTCAGTCTCGTCTAAAGCGGACCCGCCGCCATATTTTTTGAAGTGGATGAGTAAGCAGTTCCCTCAGATGGCAGTAAATACTGGGAAGCAATTCAGCCGCAGCAGAAGAACGTGCTATCGCTGGAAAATGACGTCTTAAACTCTCGTCCGAACCCCATCAGTTTCAGATAGGAGTGAGGAAGACGCAAACGACAACTCAGCAATCTTCTTGTTTCGCATCGCTTTCTGCATCTTGTCTGACTCCAGTGATTTGACTGTTGTCAGTTCCATATTCACGAAGTTCGTCTTTGTTAGGTTATTCGATCAAATTGAGAAAAGCTTGCTTTGACCACATTCCTTGTAGATAATTGTGTTGGGGAGAAGGAGGTTCCACTTATCACACGTCATGTAAGACATTGTTGGTAGCAAGAGCTTTACTGCGCTAAGAGAGCCTTACAACGGCTGCTGCCAGGGGTCGCAGGCGCTGTATACAAA